ATATATATATATATATATATATATATATATACATTTATTAATAAGATTTGCAAAATTAGGATATATCAAATTTAAATAATTTGCATGTAATGTTATGATCGACATTCTAAAAGAAAAAAAACACTCGAGTTAAAATTACACTTTGCAACGTTCGACACATTCGATTTGCACAATTTTATTTAAATAAGATATAATTTTTACAAAAACGTATACGCGTTTCTTGAATTTTCATATTACTAATAGAAATTAAATAAAATTCAATAGAAAATTATAAATTGTTGCGTCGTTGTGTCGTCGACTTTGATCAGACGTTCAAAGGACGCAGAAATGGAAAAGAAAAAAAAAAAAGAAAAAAAAATCACGCAACTTGATCAGGAAAACGAGATACACGGTAAAATTTGCATAACTCGACCCTGAATAGTAACGATCGTGCACTTAGATTTACACGGTGTACGTATACAAGCGCACGAAGACCGAACGTATAGTATCACATTGATCCGCAGGTGCACTTACGCCTGAACGAATTTCGTTACTTACCTGCCAGAAAGAGTATCAGCGTGATAATTCTGTGACCAACCATTCTCCCATATTAGACAATCTCCCATGGATGCATACGGAAACGTGTTAAGGACTTTTTCTTAGCCGCATCTCTCGATCGATCTTCTCTTTTTTTTCTTATACTTTTAAACAACGCTCAGTACGCGGGAGCTGTCAAACTCATCACGCATCGCGGAACACCGCCCGTCCGGCGCTCTTTGGATTTTATTGAGTCGCAGTTGGCGCGCTCTCGTGGCGATCCGACGAACTTTATCGGAGAACAGGGCTGCAACTGCATCAAAACGGAAGGTAGCCAGCTGCCGTCTTGTTTAAATATGTTGAGAGATCACACGACGTAAAATTAGATATGCAGATGGATGGGAATGGGACACAAAGCGAAAGGCTTAGTTTTTCATTCGTGCGTATTTTGTACGCCGTCGTTTGGATCGCGAATGCCGTTTCACGCAGCTGGAAAGATCTAGAAATGGCTAGTTACCTTGTTAAATTGAATCGTTGTACGCGGGAAGAAGTGCATCGATACTCGCATCAGAACTGGTTGAATCTGCTTTACTGATTGAGGAAGAGCTGCTCCATATTTTCCTCTATCTTTGTCGCGATTAACCAGACAAAAACGATAGACACCTCGCAATGGGATAATCGCGGTAGTTACCTTTGATTGCTCTCGTTTGTATGTGTGTATATGTGAACACTATCGTAAAAGTGAACTGACGAGACAAGCAGGGCTAGTTGAAATCTCTCGCTGAATTGGTATGTATGTACGTGCATGATACACAGGGCACATCGTAACCATGATCGATTAGTATTTCAAAGAATTTAACTGTCGGATCTATTGCCAACTACGTATTTCCGCTTATACGAAAACGTTGCAAAGATTATGTATACAATGCATGAAATAATACGAATTTTATGTAACAATGAGAAGTAAATCATCCTTTATTAATGCTGAAGCAATTTTACTATTATGATTGCAGAATAAATTCTTGTATTATATATTAAATGTACTTCGACAAATTTTTTAATTTCAACAAGTATTGACTCTTGCTACCACATTACTTAATCGTAGCGTATTTTTCGAATTAAAATGGGAACGCATATAGTGTTCTTACAAGCGCTTTTCGAAACCTATTCAAACATTAATCTTTCTCAAATTCATAATGCTATTATCCATCATAGTATCATAGCATCGTAATTTGAATTTCCGTACTAGAAGCTAATAAAATCCATGCTTCGATCAGTATGTCTACCGCGATTGTATAATTCATTTTAATTAATTAAAATTAAGTGAATGAAAGAACAATTTTTACGGGCACATATTTTGTAAGATATCATTATTTTGCAATAAAATTTGTACATTTAGGAGCGTATGAAACTTTCTTAATTTGATGCACTTCAGTAAAACGCAAAATCTAATCTTTGAATTGAAGAAAGTAGTAAAGAAGAGTGTAATAGAAATGATGACGACAATTTTATGCAATCAGTCATATAAGTTCTATTTCTCTCTCCTGTATATTCTTTATAATCTATAAAGGGTTAGGGTTGTTGAAATGATATTAGGGTGTTTTCCATCTTTGTCTATGTGACGTAACTAGTGACGTCAACAAACTGGAAGATCGATTGATTGAATTCAAACTTACCCTTTCGCAAGTTGTTTGAACAATTGGTCTCACAAATTAGAATTTTTTTAATTCTTTAAATCTTTATTTTCGAATTTAAATTCAAGATTTTCAGTCGGTTAAATTCAAAACTGAAAATTCGATTTTCAAATTTAATTTCTAAATTTCTAAATTTACTCTCTAAAAATTTCGTGTCTTTGATTCTTTTCGATTGCTCGATTAACCGTGTTTCAATTCAAGAGTTCATTTCTAAATGTTATACATATACATATACATCAATTCTAAATGCTTGTACATATTCATTGTGGCACATCACTCCTAATTATCGTGGATTGCAATTAGCAACGTGGACACGTGGTTTGCGGCGGTGGCATTCATTTACACAGAAAGGCGAAATTAATTACGTTAGTCAACACACGAATTCCAAGAGAATTAATATTAAGATCGTAGTACTTGTACCATTGCTCAAGTAATATAATAATCGATAACTTTGGTAACATTTACAAACTTATCCCTATATATCTTCATTTTAACACTTCGCTTTTCTTACTTCTACTATTTTACAGTCTCACGTGTTAACCTTCGTCACACGTGCTCATAAAACGCCAATGCGCGATTAATATGAGTTAGTTGGATTCGTTCTCGTTAATTGCATATAAAGCGCATCGTGTAAAGATAGTTTGTAAATGCAGCTCAATGTCAGCGTAATATACTATGGCTGATAATGAACCGTGAAGGAAGCTAATGGAAAACAGTCTGACGATGTCGCATAATGAGGATAATGTGATCCTCTTATGGGATTTCTGTCTGGAAGGTTCAATACGTTTAACAGAGTACGATGAACTCTTATGGTTGTTTTAATCACGCCGGCGAAACAAAATAACGACGTCTAAAAATAACTCCTCGATATCTCCAGCTATCGTTTAGATTCACAAGGGAGTAAAATCGGTTAATTAATACGTTTGCCGACGAGCCGTTATTTAGAATCAGAGATTCCAGCAATTCTCTGTGGATCGTATCGTTACGCCTGTCCTCTCGCTTCTTGTTTTATTGAAATTGAATCGTTTCAGTTCCCAAGCATCGAGTTTACCCTTTAGCAGAGATTCTGTTTCTTCTCATCGCGCATTAATCGCGAATGAAAGTGAACAGACAAAGTTCAACTCGTGGCTGACATTTGGTAGATGCCAGTTCAGCGTTTGTTCACGCTGTACGGATGCAATTTACACAACCGTTTCAAGCTGCGTTGCGTTAATTAAGTCCTTCGAGATTTGGCCTTTTGCACGCGTTTCGACTGGATTTCAGGGATTAAACTGTTATTTTAGCGTGGGAATAATTTAAAGATTAGAGTATCTTATCGGTTTGTATATTTTTTTCTTTTTTCTTTTTTTTAGTTGCATCTGCTGTTGCTTCATGCATTTCGTAGCTTCGTTCAGTTATTTTATTTCCAGGGAATATATCTTAGGAGATATTCTACTTATTTTAATATTCATCTTCACATTCTTTAGATATTAAGCATTTTTATGAACGTTCACGACGCTTCTACCGTGCCACGATAAAGTTATAAGTGGGATAATAATTCCACAACTGAGTAGTTTGTACGGCCACGTTATTCAAATAAACAAATTTAATAACAATTTGATGGGGAGAAAGGATATGAAGGATTTATAATGAATAATTTTCAGTAGAATAGGTACAGTATAATCAGACCGATAAATTGATAAATTACCGAGTTAATTCCTATTAAAATAAATTAATTTAATTTTCTGAACTTCTTTTCTAGACTATTTAAATTTAAACAGACTAAGCTATCGTGAGGCACACGGTGCAACACACGTTCGTTATTTTCCAAGAAAAAATAAGGTCAGAGAAGGTTTCATTATTATTCCGAAGCGCGGAAGTCACGCTACAAGTTTCACAATTATCGTCATTCAGGGTGCGGATCAAATCTCATTTACAATCCATGTAAACTCCAGCATCGTTTAGAATTAAAAAACTGAACGGTAATATTGGTGGTATATTTGAAATACTAATTCCATGTTCGTCACTCGGTATTCATCGCTTAATTATACGTAAATTGGAACATTCATTAGAAAAGGGGGAGGGAAAAAAAGAGCAGGGAAAAAGGTTTCCATCGACCTAGTTTCGCTTTCGTCCCGGATTACTTTCATTACGTCCTTCACCGCAAATCGAAAGGATTTCCGCGTAACTTTCCAATGAATGAGAAAACGGCCCTGCCGTTTGTATTTCCTAGCGCGTGATACACTTCGATCTCTCTCTCTCTCTCTCTCTCTCTGTGTGTGTTTTTCACGAACGTTTCATCCTTCGTCGGACGTTTACACGACCGGAATGTCGGTCCAACGAAAAACGCGCTCTACCTATGGACACCTAGACCAGGAGGGTGGAAACGCTTCGACCCGTCCTCTCGAAATGTCAAAGGTTGCCGCGCAAGGCGCATCGACGTATCCCTGTTTTCCAGGAGCCGGCAGTCGAACGCGATTCTATTGTTTCTGCTCTATCGTCGGGCAATAATTATCGTCGTTTCCATTTTACGCCATTTCGTGATTGCACTGCTTCAAGCACGATAGGCAAAGAAACTCATATGGTTTTTCTCTCAGAAGAAATGGACTTAACATGCAGTCGTGTCACGTAAAATCACACATTTAAGAGACGTAGAAACTATTATATGTATGCGAGTCGTTTGTTCTAGGATGTTTGAAAACATTTCCTCGATATATATTAGTGGAATACTCCGTTAAATGGAATTTTCTAATTGATTTTAGTTAAAACTCCGTGAATAATTGACTTTAGAAGTAAAAGTGGCCTTTTTAGTCTGTCGTCAGCTTTTTAGTCTTCTACCGTCCCGGTCTCAAATTTTCTTCGTAATTTCATTTCTCATTTTCTCGTACGTTTTGGCACGGAAACGCTCTGTCCTAATTTTTTTTATTTTTTAATTTTTTTTTATTTTACATAACTGTATCGATTCGCTGTAATTAGCGAAATAGTTTCACAAACATTTTCATAGTGTTAAAAATTAGTAAAATAACGTTGATAAACGTTTATTTTCGAAGCAGTTCATTCCAAAGCAATGTCATCGCATAAAATCGATTGCGACGAAGCTCTTGCCGGAGAATCAATTATTTTGCTTTTATTCAACTTTGTGACGAGCAAGTGAATTTGTCCCAGACAGATTTCTTTCTTACTGAAAACATAGAGCCGTATTGCTCCATCCGTGTTTTTTTTTTTTTTTTTTTTTTTTGTATCATCAACAGGTTATATAATTATAATAATCCGCTACGCTTCTAATTATTTCTTCTCCCGTGTTTTTACGAGAGTAGAGGATAGTAGATTTCCCGATCTGTTATCGCTCGTTGATATTCTCACATCTAAACTGCGCACTTCTGAAACTTTCAGTTTGCAATCTGGCGCCGTAAAAATTTCAGAGGCATCGTTGGAAATTGGCTGGTAATGTCAAAGGTTCAAACTTCCAACTTAAGAAGTTGGAGCATCCCGAGCTTTCCGTGGAAATGGATTTATTGAAAGAAATGGATCTCTGTGGAGTCCTTCGTGTGCTTGACATTAAATTATTGTTATCTGTTCTTCTGTGTCACCGCTCCTTTGCATTGTGTTTCCATCTTTCGACACTCGCCACACACCACGATAATACTTGATACAATTCTTTCAAAAAAATTTAGTAAAAAAAACGTGTGTCATTTCCTGTTCCTTTTGCTGCACTCTCGAACGTTCGAAAATTAACGTCGAAATATTTGCAGCAATCGGCGATTCATTTTCATGAAAGAAAATTTATCGCTCATGGAAATCTCGAACTGTTTCTTGCCGAGATGCACGGCAAAAACTAATGATAAAATAATGTTCCTGATATCGCAACTTTAGCATGAACTGTGATATACGGACCATTACGTGTTTACCGCTTTCTACCAATTCCAGACTTTCTGGCGCTTCGATAAACTACATTCTGAGTTCTGTTCCATTTCCGAGTATTTATCTGTGCGAGATGTTGAACTTCGATTAAATAAAAATATTTTTTTTAACATTATTAAATACACGGTGACTCATGAAAGTATTTGAACATCTACCATAGAGAAAATAAATATATTGTGCAAAACTTTTACAAACTTCATTAATAACTATGTATAATTATAGTGACGAAAGTAATGCGAAAATATATGTATATATAATTAATATTAAAAATACTAATCACCCTAGTAAATGTTAAGGGTTATTATAACGCAATCGATAATAAATTTCAATATGTTCTGTTTATATTCTTGAATTTGTTTCAAACTTTTGACCTCTTTGGCTGTCATGTCGCGTAGTATGCCCTAGAAAACCTTTTGTACAACCCACGCAACCCAATATTCAGAAAAAAATTTTTACAAGTGTTCAAATATTTTCGTAAACGACTGCGTGTGCAGTGTGCAAGGAAAATCGTTCGATGAAACAATATTGCTTTAAACGGGAAACATTTACGGAGATACGAGTTATTTACTCGATGGCATTACACAGTTTGAAATGGCACGTTTGTCGGTGAAAAATATCACATCGCTCGCTAAGATATATCGTTTGCAATTCCAGTTGATATACAAAATGTTTAATACATGTCACACGTACCTGAATCGCGCGTGTTGATCAGCGAAGTCGTGCCGCGAATTTCCACGAAACACAGATTGAAAACTTCGCAGCGAGTACAAACAGAAGAGCGGAAGGACTGCTATAAATACGGTTGATTTGCAAACGTCACTGGAGCTGTAATACTGGTATACCGGATGCGCGATGCTTGTCATGAAACGAAGATAAGCGCGGAGGATACGTCTGTACTGTATTTCATTCTAGAAAATGAAATTGTTGATCTGGGTCTATCACCCACCCAGGTATACGTATTTCGACGCTTAATGCAGTTCGATTGAAAAAAATTGATATTTTTATTACACTTTCAAAAAGTTGAGAAACTTTCCACTATTGTTGAATAATCTCTACAGCTTGTTATAACCGAGACAAAGCACTTTGACAAATTTAAATTCAAATGAGAAATATATATTGCATCACTTCAGTTTATAAAGTCTCTATAAACTTTAATAAGATTGAAGTTATATTATTATTATATTAATAAGATTGAAATTATAAATAGAGATTTAACTCTGGTTTAGCTCTTTCAGGATCAATTTTCACTTATCTTCAATTATTGTTCTTTTATGTATACTTTCATCAATTTTTCATTAATATTCACTAAATGTATGTGACTGTGTTCGAGGTGTGATGATCAGATATAAAAATTGGAGTAATTCGTTTA